TTTAGGTTCAAACCTAAGTGAATGGATTCGGTTCAGAGTTGGTTTTCCTTATATATAACTTGTATATGAGCCAGTTTCCTTTAGAAAGTCCTCCATGGAGGCATTCGTCCACTTATGTAGCTAGCCCTCATCTGCTTTGCTCTGGGAGCTTACTCAAGCTGTGTTCAAATATGTGTGGAATGGACGACACAAGCAGGAAGGGTTAACTTTACTCTTTATTGTCCATGATATTATAGGTGCTCCTGCACTTCGGGATACAAAGACCAACCACTTGTGGTCTGAACGTAAAAATATAAAAACTGCTAACTAACTAAAATAAGAGTTAACTTCGAGTGCTCTACACAATTGACTAACGCTAAGACTGGCCTTTTAAATTATTATGTACGTAGTACGCACGATACCGAAAGTATAATACGTTTAATATCAAGAGGACTAAACCTCTGGCCTTAAAGGCGGACAGCAGTTGATTGGAAACTCGCGTGTAATACAGTGGCAAGGCGGCTTTCTCTCTATCTAACTCTGCTCTTGGCGAAAAGCCGCAACTTTAAATACTTGGGCGTTAGCAAGTAACACATAAACTAACACGTGTTAATTCTGGCCGGAAGTGGAAAATAAGAGAAGATAGTAAAGTTTTAAAATTAAATAAATGCTAGTACAACTTTAGATCCTTACAAAGTAACCTGAACTAATCTAACGTTCAAAAGCTAAGAAGGCTTGTCTATCAGGCACTGGTTGAGCATTAAAGTCGCCGAAAGCTGGTAGTTAGGCTAGACTAGAATCCTCGTGGACTGGCTGTAGGGGATTTTTCATGGTTTTCCCCAATGTTTGACGGAATTACGAGTTAGTTTCTCTTAGAAGAGCTACAAAGGAATTATTACCCTTCAGCAGATAGCCTTTGAATGCTTTGCCGTGTTCAAATAACTTAACAGAGAAAGAACAAGGCAAGCAGTTTTCCACAGTTTCTTCGAATCTCTAAACTCAGGCACTTTTTTCTAGAACTCTTTCTCTTTCCTGATATAGAGTTGAGAAAAAGAGGATCGACCCTATAACTGCTTTTATTAGCAAAAGCGGGTCTGAAACGTATTATTTATAATTATACAAGTCGGCTTTTGTTTGCCTGAACAGAAACCTTTACGAGTGTTTCGACAAAAAATTTCCTGTGTATTTACGGGGATTAATTCCTGATTTAAAAATATTTACCCATACCATCGCCCACCAGTGGCCGAGCGGTAAAGTCGCTGAACACTGGTAGTACAGTCCGAGGTTCGAATCCCGCGAACGGGCTAGCTGCATGGGTGTTTTCATGGTTTTTTTCCCATGTGTAACGTGTATACGAGCCAGTTTCCCTTAGAAAGTCCTCCGCGAAGGCATCCACCCCTTAGGCAGATAGCCCTCGAGACTTTTCCTTAATTAAATAACCTAACCTAACCACCTGTGATCCACATTGACTTCTTTCAGTAACTAAACTTGTACATATTATCGCAAGATTATTTAAACAAGATTAGTATTCGTATTATTTTACTCAAGAATTTAGTGAACTTTGAACTTTGTGAACTTATGCAGAAAATTGACTTTTAAGTGTATCGAAAGTCTTTGAAGTTTGTTTATGATCACGCCTACCTTGACTTTCCACCCAATTTTGATTGCCCGATAAACTCAGTTTGTGCGTCATCGCCTTCGGGTGGGTGCTATGCACCATAAATTTTTAAAAACTACCGTGAACGGGCTTTTGGCATATATGAATGAACTGGTTAGAACTCTAAATAGTTGACACCAGAAGTGATATTGATCAATGCCAGTGATTTAAAAATTTTAAGATGCTGGATTCGTTTTAGTTTGCTATTCTATTTCTGTAGTAATTCAAGCAAAATTCTTACTGCCATAACAGTAGTCCAGGATAAACATTCTGACATCTTTGCAAAGGCTCTTTTTTCGAGGTAAAGAGCTAATCTTTATAAAGCTGTGGCCATTTTTATGTTAGGCAAACAGTGGCTGCCTTTCTGCTAATACCTTTGTGTCTGGGCATCGTTATGCAATGGTCCTAGGAAATAAAGCTTGTAATCATCACAGCTTATAGCTAGTTTTTCAATGAACTGTGTGATGTACCAAAAAAAAAGGGGGGGGGACAGTTCTTTATTTCCCGTTCTACTGGGCCGGTTGACGACAGTCAAATTGCATTTTTCATGTCTCTAAAGCGCGACTTAGAATATATATTAGATTTATATATAGCATCATTTTAACATAGGTATTTTGACTCAAAAACAGACTTTTCTAAAATGATATGCCAGTTTTTTTTTCATATTTCGATTCTATGACTCAAATTATGCCTCAAATTAAAAAATTTACCTTTGCGTATTTTTTTTCACTTGTCACCAACAATAATTGGTGAACTTCTTAACTTATAGCAACCTATTTTCCTTTTCTTTTTTTCATTGTAGACGAGCTGGAAAAAGTCATCGTTGGTATTTTCAAAAAAAAAAAAAAAAAAAAAAAAAAAAAAAAAACTAAAGGTTTCAGATTTTAAATTATGTCCAACGGGGCGTTTTTTAACGTTTTGTGTGTTAACTTTATTTATTAAATATCATGTTCTACATACTCAAACTATAAACTTCAGTTCAACAGCAATATCACAAATTAATTTTAAAATGAGCATATCATTAGATTTTCCGAAACAGAGTCTTGCACGTTGTATATAAAAAAAAAAATATTTTTTTTCGTACTGTGCTGCCATTGCTCACTTTGAAATCGTTTAGTTTTTTAATCAAAAATTTGTTGAAGTGTTACAAAATCTGAAATCAATAATAAAACAAATTTCAAATTCAAATTAGGGCTTCCACATGCCCATATTCTATAGAAGATTACGTTATTCAAATTTTGATGGCTCTAGGTACCGCTGTTTTGTCAGAATGCGAGAAACATGCATACATTTATACAGATTCTTCATTGTTTAATTTCTTTAAATATAAGACAGGGCGATAATATATGGTGGCAACGATTTGAAAAGTGATACAGCCTTTTAAAGTTTTCGACGCGAAATGCCAAAACGAAATTAATAGTCCTTCAAGGCAATTGCCCCTTTGGACTAATAATTTTAACAAAGTGCGTATTATCGTTTGGCTTTATTATCGCTCAAAAAATTATGCCAAATTTTAAAGCGCTCCAATATGTAAATTCACGTATATCTTAGAAAATTTTGAATAAAAAACTCTTAATATTTTGCAGGTGTGCCTAGAAATACATCTGCTTTAGATGACGTTAAAAATTTTATAGGTTATAATACAAAATTTTTTTCGAAATATTTATAAAAAATATTTAAAAAATAAATCATAAAAAATGTGCGAATTATATTTGAATTAAGCCTAAATTTCGAACTGTGAAGAAGGAATCAAGTAAGTTTAATTTAAAAAAAAAGAGATACTAATAAATATATATCAAAATCAATTAGCATAGAGGAGCTAAAATTTTAGAGCTAATTTTTTAAAAACTACTCATGCGATTTTTAGAAAACTTGGCAGTTTGGCATAATTTGAGTCTTAGAATCAAAATATGGAAAAAAATTGGCATGCCATTTCAGAAAAAGTCCGATTTTGTGTCAAAATACCTATATTAGAACAAAGTTGTATATACAAGGTGTGCTAGTGGAAAAAAAAAAAAAAAAAAAAAAAAAAACTGGTCCAATAAATCATTGTCCTTACAGAATCAGTTCTCTGTGACAATATCACCTTTAAAATAGCCCCCTTCAGCATTCATGCATTCAGTGCTGCTACTGCTGGTAACAGTTCTGGGACGAGGTTTTTGGAAGGCCCTTCAGGGGATTCTCCGTTTCTGCCTGAAGCTATGTAAATGAGGTAAAATGGATTCCCTTTAAGCAAGGTTTAACCTTAGGAAATAAAAGAAAGTCTCATGGAGCCAAATCAGGTGAATAAGGAGGATGCCCCAGCTCAGTAATGTTTTTGCTAGTCAGAAATACCTGCTTGGCAGATAGGGCTGTGTGAGCAGGTGCATTGTCCTGAGCAATAGGCATCGTCACTCCCCAACTGTGGCCTTTTTTTTTTTTTTTTTTTTCTCTCTTAATTTTTTCACGAACTCTTTTCAGTACTTCAATATGGTAGTATTGATTAACAGTCTGACCACTGGGAACCCACTCAATCATTAAAACTCCATTAATGTCGAAGAGGACAATTAACATTGCCTTAGATTTTCATGTCTTGACGTTCATCATCTTCCACACTTTTAACACTGTCCCTTCCCCTTGGAAACCGCTAATGCCATTCAAACACATGTGCACGAGACAAAGTTTCATCTCCATAAGCCTCGGCTAACGTCTGAAATGTTTCCGTGGCTGATTTCTTAAGTTTCACAAGAAACTTGATGTTGATTTGCAATTCAGTTTCTACATCAGACATTTTTCCGGCAGAATGCAGTTGCATGATTTCACTCATTGACGCTGTACGCCCAACTGGGCGTGATCGATTAAGTCGAAACTGGACGCATGGATAAAGGGTGTGTGTGGCATGACGTCATCAAAACAGTTGTTGCCAACTCCACTCTTTTTACACACTTATTTTATTTATTTATTTATTTTTTGTCACACTTCGTAAACCTAAATCGCGCAATCGAGACATGAAAACGCAGTTTGAAATTAGTCAATCGGCCCAGTAGAATGAGAGATATAGAACTGTCCCCCCTTTTCTTTGCGCAGTGTACTTCTGTAAAATATATTTTAGAATGAAATGTTTTGTAGCTGGTCAGACGATGTATGCAGATAACATTTAATATTTAACTCTGTACTATGGTTATGTAAATATAATATAAATAACACATCAAGTTACTTAAATTGTGTTACATAACATTACTTACATTAAACTGTATTAATGCAGAAGGAACCCCATTATAAATATGGGGTTTCTGCATATTAACTTCAGTTTTCTGCTCGTGAAATAACCTAATATATGTATATATAAAATTTAATGGCTAAATGTAAAATTTCCTTCTCTTAGGTTTTATTCAGCCATCAAATGATCTCAGATTGAAGTTTTATTCATATTACAAACAAGCTGTTGATGGGCCATGTGAATTACCAAAACCTGGCTTTTGGGACGTAGTAAATAGAGCAAAATGGTATGTGATTTTTTTTAACATATATTATACATTATTATTAAAGGAATGTGAATTCTTATTTATATTTGTCTTAATGATATTTGAAGGTGAGTATCTAAAAATTCTTTGAAATATATTTCAGTATTTAAAAAAAACTGATGTCTTGTAATCCTTTGTTTATAGCAAATTTTCTGACAGAAGTTTTGGGATGTTTTAAAGTAAATTTTACTTATTTGTATTTCTGTATACCCATTATTCAAGGAATTTGTTTAATCCATCTCATAAACTACTAATATTTCTGCGGTGATGCCTGAATTAAGTATGATAAATGATGATTTGTGCTAATGGATTCGGGTTTTAATCGTCCAAGTAATGTTTTACTTATTAAAGAATGAATTTTCAAAGGCAAATTACATGGAGACAATTAAGATAACAGGTATGTGCAAAATTAAGTTCTGCAAGTCTGCATTTGGCAGTTACTGTGTAGAACATTCTAAAGTAAATTTTGTTTCCTAGAAAAACAGAGATAAGTCCAGTTTAGGGAAGCAAATCTAGACACCACTTTTATGTCTTAGAAAAAAAGAAATTTCTTTTATATCTTAGAAAGATTTGAATGGTAAAGCCATTCCTTTGATGTATTAAGAACTGTTTGTTGAAAGAAGAAAGATCTAAATAGCAGGTGAAACCCACTAAAGGCCAAATGTATAAGATAACCGAATCCCAGTATTTTGCTTAAACATGTTGAATGAATATGATTTTTGTGTTTTTCCCATGTGTAACCTGAATATAAGCCAATGCTTCTTAGAAAGTCAACCATGAAGTTATTTATACTTCACTTTAGACAGATAGCTTCTTATGATTTGCCTTAATCATTTTAATAGGAATAATAGCTGGTCAGCGGTTCTGTGAAGTTTGCAAATATTCTTCGACACAAAACCCAGGAATCTAAAGTATAGGGCTAGCATAAATGATTCATTCGTTTTCAAAAGTATTACACTTATACACATGAAAAATATATGAAAAGAACCACAAACTCAAGGAATTTGTGTTGTGTATTCCATGGGCAACGCTAGTCCATTATCTTTCCGATCAGTGTGTCAGTACGAGGTTAATACTTGTCGAAAATGTCCACCTGCAGTTGTGACAATTGAAAGAGATTTGTCAAAGGTGAATGTCTTCTGTGCAGTGTCGCAAACAAAGATGTGTGACCTGTTTTTCTTCGTCGAGCAAATTGTGACCGGTACATGTTCTAGTTGTTTCCGGAACTCAGTGCTGACTTTTAGGATTCGCGTAACGTTTCGTTCAATTCCGAGCTATATCTGTTCTACGATGGTTACATTTGCTTCTGTATCTCTGACCATCTTACAAGAATGCTTGTTCATGTATCCTTCGACAAACAGTCCGTTATCTCTGCCGCTCATTGAAGAGATCTGGAGAACTTGCATGAGGGCTTTCTTCCGAGGCACATCCCAGTTCATGATTACCTAAACGATGAATTTCCGCATCTCTGGATTGGGTGTATTGGCGAGAATTACCTAGCTTTGTTCCTGTGGCCTTCCAGGTCCCCTGATTTAATGCCCTGCGACTTATTCCTGTGAGGGTGCATTAAGGACCTTGTTTACGTTCCCCCACTACCACAATCCTCAGTCGAGCTCAAAGAATGCATCAATGCTGCAATGCAGGCAGCTAACAGGACTATGTTACAAAATAAGCTCGATTATCGTCTGGACGTATGTCATGTCACAAAGGGGCACAGACTGAACATTTGTAGAGGATGTATAAACTTAGTGAGCTTATGGTTCTTTTCATGTATCTGTCATGTGTGTACATGTAATACTAAAATATAGCGTTTCAAAATGAATGAATCCTGTAAGCTAGCCCTGTATTTTTGCAATTCAGATTTTGCAAATTTAGACACAAAATCCAAGAACCTAAAATATATCAGATTTTGAAAATGAATTAAAAGTGCTTTTCCAACATTTCAATATAGTATCAACAGCTGTCTAATGTGAAATAATTATGTCACAGTAATTTGTGAGTTATTTCCCATAGTATGAATCTGTATATCCCAATATATATAAGATCGAAATTTACGGGTGCGTGTTACATACAGGATATAAAAATGATACATTAAAAACAAAGAAAAACAAATGTGATTTAATAAAGCTTTCGATATTCACTTCGCAATCATCAGGCTTCAAATGACGACAGAAAGAGAAAATATCTGATGAGAGCTTAATCTCTAAAATCACAAGTGATGGAGCTCAGTGGTTTAAAACCATCAGGAAGAAGAGAAAAAACACATGCAATCTCTACTACATACGTCTCTGCAATTGATTAAATAGCAAATTTTCCATGATTTTCGCATAATCGTCTCAACAGCCAATCAGAAGACCTCTACTAACACATATCTTTGACTGCTCCTGAATATTTTTTAAAATGCACACTGTTTCTGAAACTTGGACCAGCATCTCTCCAGCCTACCGGATGCCGCTATAGCCTCACGTGACAAAGTAGTCACACCCTCTTTCACTTTGCATCCTGTCCTCCGGACACACCCATGCATTTGCTATACCTGCAGTGTACTTATTAATTCATGATAGCCGGTACACCCGGAAATAGTGGGAAAAAGAAATGAATTCTTCATTTCCTCCACTGATCTTGAGCAGCGTGCATCGTTACCCCAATGCAGAGCTTGCTGACATACATTTCATGTATGGGCCTGCACAATGAAATTCATTTGCAACTCAAAGGATGTACAGGGAGAGGACGGAGAGGAATCAGCCGGATAGTAGAACATTCAAGGGGTCTTCATCGAGGTAGATCATCACAGGTAGATCGTTTTATGTGTCCAGGCATGATAACGACATTGGAAGATATCGCAAAATTCCTGCAGTGGAAGAAAGAATACTACACACAGTAGGGGATAATCCTTCGTCAAGCTCGAGAGCTATAGGATGTATGCTGAGTGTGAGCCATACAATTGTTTTGAGGACTTTACATGGATACTGAATACATCCACAGAGTGCAAACAATGGCCCCTGACTATTATCTTCCACGTCTCAACTTTACTCGTTGGTACCTACAGCAGTCGGCAGGCACTCAAACTTTCCCTGCTGCAGATGTTTTATTCACTTATGAGGCAACCTTTACGCGGTCAAAGATGTGTAACATTCATAATTCTCACCTGTGCGCTCATGGTAACCCATATGCACAATAACACACGCCTACAAAGAAAGGTTTTCCATAAATGTTTGGGCAGGCATTGTGCACAGTAACTTAATAGGACCATACATTCTACCCAGTCATTTAACTGGCCACACGTATAGCATCTTCCTACAGGAGGTCTTACCTGAACTTTTCGTTGATGTTCCTCCAGCCGTTCGCGAAGGAATTTGGTTCCAGCACAATGGAGCCCCAGCTCTTTTCAGCCGAAACATCAAGAATGACCTGGACGTATCTACGGCCAGCATTGGATAGGATGGAGCAGACCAGTTCCCTGGCACTGCGTTCTCCTGATTTAACCTGCTTGGATTTATTTTTTAGAGTCTTAAAACCTCGTGTAGGAGAGTCCAGTCACATCTGCAGAAAATCTTGTTGCTCGCTTGTCTGTTGCTGCTGCACATGTGCTCTACATGCCTGACGTCTTTTCTAATGTACGCCGATCCATGCGCCGTTGCTGTGAATCTTTTATCGCTATTGGTGTTCGAGCATTTGGCAATGGTTAAACAATAAGTGTCTGCCACACTTCTCCATATATTTATCCATATTGTAAACTGTTAGTATTTTTTTCTTTTGTCTTTACTTGTCTTTTCAATTTCCCACGTTTCATACTGCTTTACGTGCTAGCTAATTTATTGTGGCACCGCACACACATTTCTATACGAAATCTGATTATTGAGGTTCCCTCTACCTGCCTTTACGTTTTTGCCATATAGTTTTGAACCACCCTGCATGCTAGGTAGAGCCATCTCATGAGTGTTGCTTATTATTAATAAATCATCATTTTGAGGAAGTGGATTAAAATTGTACATTCTTTTTCCATCGATAGTTTCCATCGAAAGTTGTGAAAAAAAAATGATACAAAATTTACACAGTTATTACATCTGGTTGTGGACATAGCAATCCGCCTCGGTCCATATTCAGTATGAAACGATATTCTTCATCCAATTCCAAAGTTTTGTCTAAAGTTAGGTTTTCCCGACAATACTCACATTTCACAGTCTTCAGAAATCTATATACGCAATATCCAGCGAGATATGTTATGAGTGGCATTACATTGATAGAATCCAGTTCATTTTGAGTTACTTGTAACGTACAGAAGGCACTAATAAAATTCTTGTCAGTATTAATGAGGTCAATATTATCTGTATCAAAACTTCTGATTTCAATTTTTCCAAACTTTTTTGATTCAAGAATCAAAGGTAAGAAATTCTGCATCTGCAGCTTGCCCTCTGATTCATATATCTGTGTTATTGCTACATTATATTGTGAGCCAGATAATTTTCTATACTGGCCAAATCTGTCTTCGAGAGCATCTGTCTGAACTTTGCCTGGCAGGAAATATTTAAATTTTAATTCCTTTATACAATATCTGGTTAATTCGAGGAGAGCATGTGTTGTATGAGAAAAGGCAAAGTTTGTTTCTCTGGTAAGTGCTCCCATAGAACAATTTTTATAATGCCATGCGTCAATCCAGGCAAGAACTTTTTTCAGAAAGAGACATCTTTCATCTGCGTCACTTAAAGTCATAGGCTTCTGATAAACATTCCTTAACCTAATACCTTTGAATGGTGTTTTCACATTTACGATATCAAACCATGTGCATATTATTTCTATAAAATCTGCAGTTGAGGAATACAGTCAAAAGTCGTTAATTCGGACACCCATAATCCGGAATGACCTATAATTCGGAACTCAAAGCTACAAACTTTCTGCGCATGCGTCGCGTTGACGCATGCGCGTAAGACCTTTACTGCTACGAATTTGTGTGTGCTCGTGCGCAAAATACGTTTACGAAT